GCATCCAAATGTAAATATTTGGATGATTAATATTTTCCGATCTGAAGCAGCTTGTATTCAGAGACTTGCACCAGTAGCTTTTGTACAGAATTATAGTGATTTATCTTGGTACAGTGGTCTCTATGATTGACTATGAACCCAAATGTAAATCATTCTCTCCATGATCTTTACATGTTTTCTGTTTACATGATACAAGAATTTGATTAATGCAAATCAAACCGATGCGTACTGCACAAATTTTTTTTGGTGTTTTTTCTTTTAATTTTTCCAGGAGTAGACCTTTGGGTGGATTTGTTAAGCTCAATTTTTCTAGAAACAGAAGTTGTTTCTCTTCAGTTTGGTTGGGAGCTTGGTCTTTCTTCTGAGTATGTTGAGGGGGATAATAAGGTCATACAGGTTGTACCTAGGTGTGCCAATAAGCCTGCTGACTTCTTAGCTAAGTACCTAGGTGTGCCAATAAGGCCTAGACAAAAAGTCCTTTCCTGCAAACAAAGATAGGGAAGTTTTGGAAAGCTGGTATATGCAGGGGTTAAGTAAGAAAGCAGACCAGCGTAAAACATGATTCCTTTGGCAGTTTGTTGGACCCTCTTGGTTAAAAGGAACAGTCACATCTTTGAACATAGTGCATCTCAGAGGATATGTTGGCAAGGAAATTGGTGAGAAGGCTGTAGTCATGGTTGTCTATTCATAAAAGTTTCAGAGGGTCGAGAATTTTCCTCTTGTAAAGTGCTTTCTGTAAACAGGAATGCATACTGCCATATAGATCCTATTGTACATTCCCAATATTTGGTGCCTTAGTATACAGGGGTCTTTGTAACTGTGTCTTCTGGTTAATACAATTCAATATTTTACACTTACAACAAAAAAAAGGTACAAAAGGGGATCCAACTGTAGTGGAAGTAATGATTTGCTGATTGGATTTGCTAATTTGGTCATTTAGAAAAGTYWTTAAATGAAAARGAAATTTGKTTGGGTCTCCAAAATGGCCAAATGTTTTTTAACTTACTTCCCCTTGTTCATGTGGTCAATTTTATCAGAAAATCCCTGCTTTCAAAATAAGCATTTTCAGTGGACT